GTAAGAGCATAGCATCAACATAATGTGAGTATTTCTGAGAGACTCACAGGATCCAGCAGCCAGCAGCAGCAGCAAAGCTACAGAGAACATGTTGGTGGTGAAGGTGATCCAATGAGAGCTTCTCTGTGACTGACAGGATGAGATTATGTCATTTAAAGGATGTCATTTAATTTGCCTAATGACCAACCAGCCAATCATCAGTGTCTATTATATGCTCACAGCACAGTAGGAAACTAATAGTTTTATTTTAAACAGAATCCCCCTTAGTTCATTTTTCTGAATGGATGTATAAAAGTGAACCGTTTTGGTTGTTATATTTATATGCATGAGTTGTTTTATTCTTTTTTCTTTTTCTTTTACAATATTCCTGTCTTGCTCCTGTTCCTCCTTTAACAACCGAAGACAGTAGGAATAACTTATTAATTTATCATTCATGTTTTTCCTTGTTATAGAAAAAAAAATTACAAACAAATGTTAACACACTCATCAAATTTATTTTTCTATGGCAGAATGCTTTAACTTTTAGATGCTACGCATCAAAATTATGTTACTGGCATTGACTAAGACAAGGAATAAGGAAGGCAATATTGGATAGAAAAAATTAAAAGCTTGATGTACAAAACTTGAGAATAATTTCTAGCTTGATTTGTATTTTCATTGATTTTAGATGTCTGAGTCTGAGTCTGGTTGGGATTTAAACCCATAACCATGTGAGGAAACAGCAATTACAACATCATGCTGTCCTGTGTAATGTGTGAATTTAGTTTGAATTAATATGAATTACATGTTTAATTCAGCAATGGCCAATGTTGATTGTCTTTATTACAAATTATTTGAAAACCTAATAAAATTGTAATAAATTGTAATTTGTAAGAAAATCTAATAAAAACCTTCTTGTATATAAAAAGAAAAAGTATATCATGAATTCAGCCTCAAATTAAATGTAGTGTTTCAACTACATATTTGATCTACGACTAAAGCTTATAATAAAACATTCTGTTGGACCAGCTGTTGACGGAGCTAAAAAGCAGAAAATCTTGTTTATTTTTACACAATGATCAGTATTCTATGCAAGTTAATGCAATTTCAACATTGTACAGCCTCGCTGCTCGTTAATCACTGTGTTTCTTACAAAGTAATAGCAGAGTCTTCAGGTTTTATGATACACAGACTTTGGTGATTTATATGTGACCTTAATCACTGTTGGCACATGAGATGCCAGAACCCTTTTTCTGCCAGTCGACAGATCCAGTGTGTGTGATTGTTGGTCACATCCATAACATAACTAACAGATGATGGTCAGAGTCTGAACTCTTTGCTCACACTTCACAGCCTTTAATGATATCACATCGGTTCAAAATGTAATATCAGTAAGACTGTAGAGTAATCATAATATGATTCTCTAAATGAAACTTACAGCATCCTGCATCAGAGCTGCAGAGGACGTACAAAAGATGATCTGATGAACATCTGTTCCTATCTAACTGACAGATTAATTCCTTAATTTGTAATCTGGAGTGTAGAAAATGAGAGAACAACCAGTCATAATTTACTTTTAAAGTATTTTACTGCCATTATCAAAACATCACCTTCCTGAAATAATGGCCTAAGCTTTTCTTTGCCAAAAGTGATTTTATTTTTGGTCTAAACCAACCTTTGGCAAGATAGAAGTCAAAAATCACACACATGAACAAGGAATGAATGTTATTTTTCATGTATTAACTTAATTGTATTCACAGTGGATAAATATAGAGCATAAACATAAACCTGATACACATTCTCTGTTTCACATCTGTGGGCAGAATTCTGGAAAAACATGAAACCATCAACCAACATTTACTGATGTCACCTATCTCCTGCTCTGTGAAGAGTTTTTGTACAGCTTCTCTGTTCACATTAACCACTGTGCATATCTGGCACAGTAATACACAGCAGACTCCTCTGGTTTCATAGCAGACAGTCTCGGATTCACAATCTTCTTATTGGTGTCTCTGGTGATTTCAATACGTCCTTGGACATTGCTGGCATAAGCATTTCTTCCACTAGCCCAAATAACACCCATCCATTCAGGTGCTTTTCCTGCAGATTGTCGGATCCAGTGTGTTTCATACCTGGTGACAGAATAAGAGACCTGACAGCTGATGCTCAGAGTCTGACCTGGCTGCACAGTCGAAGAGGCTGGTTGTCAGCTGTTCACACTTCACACCTGTTAATGATAACATCAAATTAATTAAAATGCATCACCAATATGTGTCTCAGCATAATGTGAGTGTCTCAGTGAGACTCACAGGATGGAGCTGCCAGCAACAGCAGCAGAGCTACAGAGAACATGTTGGTGTAGAAAGTGATCCGATGAAAGCTTCTGTTCCTGTGACTGACAGCACTGACTTTTTATAGCAGGTTTATTTTGCATGATTACTGACTACCCAATCAGATTTCATGAAAAAAGGGAGAATTATCTCAGCTGCACTGAATACAATCTAGAAAAATGTATTTATTTGTTCAACCTGCTGTTCCTAATTACGATTTTATAGAATATTAAAATTTGATTTCTTGTTTTAAATCCCAAAGGAATCCTCTATCATATCAATTTTTTAGTGGTAGTATATTCACTATGATGTTCAATTGCAAATGGACCTTAAAGGAAAATGTTTTGAATATTAATAAAACACATGGTGAGAGGGCTGAATGACGCACTGACATTTATCATTCCACAGGCATTAAAAAACAGTATGTTTTAATACCTTTTATAAAAGGTAAGAAAAAAATGCTGTTTTAAAAGCAGGTTTTTTAAAAACATGGTTTTCAAGTTTTATTTGTGTTTGTAAAATATCTGCACTGTTAAATTATGAACTTGGAAGAGCTTAGAGCTCTTCCTCTTTGGGTTTCATTTCACATGAGGGGTTTTTGTACAGCTCTGCTGCTTGTTTGTGTCACTGTGAGTCTCTGGCACAGAAATACACAGCAGAGTCTCCAGGCTGCATATTCTGTCCATTCAGAGTCACTGTTTTACTGGAAGTGTCTAAGTCGATACTGAATTTGTTCTTCAGTGAATCTTTGTAGGATGTATAGCCAGTGCCTTTCACTCCGATCCATTCCAGTCCTTTTCCAGCAGGCTGTCTGATCCAAGCTGTCCAGGTGCCCAGAGAATAAGAGACCTGACAGCTGATGGTCAGACGTTGACCTGGCTGCAGAGTCACAGAGGCTGGCTGTGTCAGCTGCTCACACTTCACACCTGTAGAAGTAAAATAAAAACAGTGACAGAACAATAAACAACCTTCAGTAAAATCAGTCTATCACATCTCCAGTTTCAGTGAGACTTACAGGATGCAGCAGCCAGAAGCAGCAGCAGCAGAGCTACAGAGAACATGTTGGTGTCGAAGATGATCTGATGGGAGTTTCTCTTCTTCTGGTGCAAATGACAGCATGACCTCATCTTTATAGGAAACTCCCTGGAAATTAAGTTTGCATAAAGAAATTTACAATCATTTCAAAAGAAACATTAAAGATAGATCAAATATTTCTAACCAAATCAATGTGAGGAAACCATGGCACCTTTTCAATATTGATAGTTGTGTCAAACACACAGTAGAAGACAAAGCAGGTACAGAATCAGTATTTAAAGAAGTAGATAAACCTTTTTTTCATACTCTTTTTTTTCCGTTCAGGCTACTCTTGACATAGTAAACCTTTTATGCTTTTCAAAACTAACAGTAGTAACAATAAGAAAACTTTTGAATGAATGAGAGAACAAATTAATGTAAGAAAGAGTTCACTGTTAATGTAAAATGAAACAGTACAATAAAATTAAAGAGTACCACTCCTACAAGATTCAGTCAGTAAAAGTAAAAACTTTATCACACACATTCTACTATTTACAAAAATACAGACACTGTTAAAATATAAACTGAGAACTAGGCATTTAGCAATTCACCAGTAACCAAACACAATGTGACTGAAAAAAGGAGTAAAAACCAAATAAAAAAAGTTTAATTATTCTGTCATGTAACACAAATAAGCTAGTGCAATGTTTTTATTGACATTAAATCACACCATTTGAGTACTTGTGTGTAGACACAACTGCAAGATTCTTCTAAATGAAGAACAAGGAAGCAGTAACTGTCACTGAGAAAAGATTAAGCAGGCAAGTGTTATTAACTCCCAGGGGGAGAGTTGTAGACTTTGCTCTTTTCCTAGTTTACATCTTCTCTCAGCTTCTACTCCATCACTGCTGTTTTTGTTCTCCAGTTGATTTTCCAACAATGTATGCCTTCATGTCTACTAAATTTGCGATATTCACTTTGCAGTAAAATTGATCTCTAGCATGCTTCTGAGAACAGGCGTCAATTTTTTATTTGTGGTTTTAGAGCACCTCTACTGGTAGCTCTATGCTATAGGGCTTCAGGCTCTGAGAGGTTTTTGTACAGCTCTACTGTTGTGTTGTGTCACTGTGACTCTCTGACACAGTAATACACAGCAGAGTCTTGAGGTTGTAGATTCTGTCCATTCAGAGTCACTGTTTTACTGGAATCATCCAAAGTAAAACTGAACTTGTTTGTTAAAGAATCTTTGTAAACTGAGGTGCATCCACGGCATGTCAAACCAATCCACTCTAATCCTTTCCCAGCAGCCTGTCTGATCCAGTGTGTAGCATAGCTGCCCAGATCATAAGAGACCTGACAGCTGATGGTCAGACGCTGACCTGGCTGCACAGTCGCAGAGGCTGGTTGATTCAACTGTTCACACTTTACACCTGTGGAGGAAAACACAGCAACAGTAAACCGTCAGTGTGATGTGATCACGCTGTGAATTTTTCTGCCTCTCTGACACTCACATGATCCAACAACCAGCAGCAGCAGCAGCAGAGCTACAGGAGACATGTTGGTGCTGAAAGTCATCTAATGAAAGTTTTTCTTTGAGTCTGAATGACAGGGTGAGATCTTCCCTTAAGAACCAAATGTTTCATTTGCATAATGATAAACTAGCCAATCACAAATGTGATTTATTCATAGGAAACCACTGCACGTTTCTATAGCATTTACTTTTTTGTAATGCTCACTAAATATATATTAGTGATATTTCATATACAAACATTCTTCCTATATTGCAATATTACTAGTCTTTTCTTTTTCATCTTAGGCCAAAACAAAAGATATAAGAGTTTGTTTCTTTTAATAACCATTTAAAAAGAAGATTTTGTTTGTCATCAGATGATAATGCTTTTACTAACAGAGCATATAAGTAACAACAATTGATTCATCAATATTCATAAAGTGTCCCAGTGGACTGAGAAACACAACAGAATTTATAATTTGACTAAAATGAGTTGTGTAATAATCAACTTAATACGATATTTAAACAGTATTTCTACTTTGTCATTGTGTGATGATGAGTTGTATTTTACACAGACATACAGGGGAAATACAAACCAATAAGAAATTTAAATCCAACTGGATCAGATGCCATTACATTAAACCAATGATCGTCAAATCCAGTCCTTGAGGGACGGTGTCCTGCAGCTTTTAGGTGTGTCTCTGCTTCAACACACTTGAGTCAAATAATGAGATCGTTAGCAGGACTCTAGACAACTGGACTACACTGAGGACGTGATTCAGGCATTTAATCCAGAAGAATTGGAACGGGCACAGATCTGAAAGTTGCAGGACACTGGCTTTAAAAGCCTGTATTTGAGGAGCTTTGCAGTAAATATTGTTTATTAATGTGTGGCTCAAAGCCCATTACTGTATACAATCATGCAATGATTAGTGTAAACACATGTTTGATAAATAATAATTATGAAAAAAAAAAAAATCAGGATGCAGCCTCAAGTTTTTAAATCCTCAGGGGTCCAAGAGCACTTGTACGTATGTTTTTTTGTTTTTTTTTTGTATATCTCTGCTGTCTGTGTCAGTGTGGCATTATGAAATACATGGGGAGCAGCAAATGACAGGGGCAGGCCAAAATCATTACAACCCAGGGGACAAAACAAAAAATAGGATGAGATAGTGATGTATATCAAGCCCTTTACACGATAATAGAGTGCAGATATGTTGCTTGTGCTATCTGTATTATTTTATATTTATATCAAATATGAATTACAAACAACATGCAGTATTTTACAACATAAAAAACTTAGACTAAACAAATGCTAGGAGGAAAGAGAAAATAATTTTAAGTCATAATTATTTCTGTTATAATTGTTTTCAAGTTTTATTCTGCTGTATACTTAAAACAATTGAATATTTTTAAAGTCCCTTACAATGAAAAGCTTTTCCATCTGATTCGTTTTGAAATAAGTGGTCTAAAAGCGCCTCATCTGGTTGAAAGGAAACTATCAAGGTGTTTTTGTACGGCTCTGCAGATGGTTTGTGTCACTGTGTCTCTCTGGCACAGTAATACACAG